CGTTCGGTAAATAGAGAATACCGAACGAGGGGATTCAGGCGAACCCTCCCTAGCCTCTATAGCTAGAGGCTTTCGTGTATTTATTCCCTTATGCCAGGACCGACCGCAAGGCCCATTCACATGGAACCGAATTCGGCTATCTCTGTTCGTGCGGTCGGTCATTTTATTCCCTCCATACTTTTCCCGAACCCCTGGTCCGATCTGGGTGATTTTTGGATATGTTGTTCACCCAGATCAGGGCTACCCGGGGATGTATGATTTAAAGGGGTACCCCTACGTTTAGGGGTACATCCAGAAATAGGGGGAATTGGTGTGCTGGCTAAGGGGATTATGATGCTGGCTGAGGGGAGGGGATGTGTGGGAGGTTACCAGGACAGGATTGGCTACTGTAATAATTACTGTAAATCCCTCCCTTGCATGGGAGCATGCTTTATAAGGAGACTGTGATTAAAGGCTTGTCGGTTATGCTCCTGAAACTGTGTGTCGTCCAGTTATTGGGATTGCTGTTGGGATATTGCTGTATTTTACCTGCTGGAAACCCTGCCTTTGGATTTACTATTTACTTGTTCCTGAGTCTCACTTGGATTATAAGCGGGGATAACCTGGGTAATATTGTATCTCCGCTACATTGGTGGCAGCGGTGGGATCCAGACTCACAGAGGAACAAGCCTAAATGGAGTACGGATGGAGATTGATTTTGCCACACTAAAACGCTCCACGCTAAAAGACCTTCTGGAGGCAAAGGGTATACAAGCCAGCAATAAGACAAAAGCGGCACTGATCACTGAACTGATGGCGGAGTACCGAATGGAAGGCGATTCGGTTCCCGAACAAGGGAATTCGGGAGAAACACCGGAACAAAGGGAGTTCCAGAGGCAGGTACAATTTCGGCTGTCTTTCTATGGGGAACACCCTCCAACAGAGATTATTTCCAAAACGATAACGGAGGTCCAGGAGTTTATACTGAGGAGTCAAACAGCGGCCCCAGAACGCAGCTCTACAGTAAATATGCCACATGAAGGTAAGCCGAAAATACCGTACCAGGCTTTTAAAACATATGTGGAGGCAGAGGAAGATATAGACTCTTTCCTGCAAGATTTCGAGAGACTGTGTGCACTGCATAGAATCAGCGCAGAGGACTGGGTACCCATTTTGGCAGGAAGGTTAACTGGGAGGGCAGCTGAGGCATACCGGACTGTACCGAATGATGAAATTCGGAATTATCACAAAGTGAAAGAAATTATACTGGCCAGGTATGCTATAACACCAGAAGCATACCGGCGGAGATTCAGGGATCTAAAGAAGGTGGAGAAAGACTCACATGCTGAGTGGGCATGCAGACTACAACGAGCAGTCTTGGGGTGGGTGCAAGCGAGCAAGGCACGGTCTATGGAGGATGTATTGCAAATGGTACTGCTGGAGCAATTTTATGAAGGAGTAACCAGCGAGGTACAGGAGTGGGTAAGAGACAGAAACCCTACCTCCCTTACCGAAGCAGCCAGGAAGGCAGACGAGTACCTGGATGCACGCAGGCAGCAAAAACCTGCAGCTCCAAAAGTACCTTTTAAAACCTTTGGGGGAAATAACTACACGCCAGCTCTACCAAGGTCACTGCCACCACCACCATCACCCTGGTAAAAAGTCACCTGGTCTCAGACCAAGCTAAACTTAGCAAGACTGTGGCCGTCAGGGTAGCCGGGGGAGCAGTATACCGGCTACCCACAGCAAGGGTACATTTGCATTGGGGAGCGGGGGCAGGGCATGTGGAGGTGGGGTTGATGCCGCAGTTACCGGCGGAGGTTTTATTGGGGAACGATCTGGGGAGGCTCACATCTGCTTTTGAGCCCCAGACACCCATCACAGGAGAAGCTCACCCTGTGGTCACTCGACAACAGGCCCGCACCCAGGACTACAACACACTCCCGGAGGTCCAGGTAAGAGATCCTTCCCCTTCCCCTGACTGTGTTCCCTGGGCCCCTCCTAGCGAATTTGCAGCTGAGGTAGTGACTGATCCCACTTTGCAGGTGTATAGGGACAAGGTGACAGCAGACACGCCTGGGGGGGAGGGCGAAAGGTTTATTTGGGACAACCAGCTGTTATATCGGGAGACGGATAAGCAGGTATCCGGGTCAGACCCGATTGTGATGAGGCAGTTAGTGGTACCTCAGCGGTACCGGGCGGAGTTACTACGGATAGCCCATGACATTCCGCTATCTGGACATTTAGGGGTCAGCAGGACCCGATACAGGTTAACCCAAAGTTTCTTTTGGCCGGGAATTAGCCAGGAGGTGCGCAGGTATTGCAACACGTGCGATACCTGTCAAAGGGTGGGGAAAAGAGGGGACCGGCGCAAGGCCAAGTTACATCCTCTCCCCATAATCGAGGAACCCTTTAGCAGGGTAGCAGTTGACCTAATAGGACCCCTCAACAAAGCAAGCCCGTCAGGTAAAAGATTTATCCTGACCGTAGTAGATTATGCCACTAGATATCCAGAGGCGGTGGGCCTGACGAATATACAGGCTGAGACAGTAGCGGAAGCCCTGATGAAGATATTCTCCCGGGTGGGACTCCCCAGGGAGATTGTCTCCGATCAGGGCACCCAGTTCACCGCCGAAGTCACGCAGCGCCTCTGGAAGTTTTGTGACATTAAGCCGGTCATTAGTTCCCCTTACCACCCCCAGACGAATGGGCTCTGCGAACGTTTCAACGGTACATTGAAACAAATGCTCCGAACCTTCGCAGAGACCCACAAGGACTGGGAGAAGTTCCTGCCACACCTCCTCTTTGCTTACCGGGAGGTGCCGCAGGAATCCACTGGGTTCTCCCCATTTGAACTATTGTTTGGCCGCAGGGTACGAGGGCCTTTAGATTTGATCAGAGAGCATTGGGAGGGAGAACGGAGCACTGACGGTACCCCCATCATACCCTATGTGTTGGCATTCCGAGACCGCCTTGAGGCCTTAACTCAGACGGTACGCGAGAATTTGCAGGCGGCTCAGACACGCCAACGCACATGGTATGATCGGGGCGCCAGGGACCGTAGCTTTCAGGTCGGGCAGAAGGTGTTAATCTTAAAACCTGTCCGACACGATAAGCTGCAGGCCGCCTGGCAGGGCCCTTATAAGGTGGTGGAACAACGGTGTGACACCACTTATATAATCGGCTCGTGCGTTGGTACTGGGGGGCGACGCATGCTCCATGTGAACATGATGAAGCCCTACCAGGAGCGCTCGGAGGAAGTGACCGCTATATGTGCGCCTAACTCCGAGGAGTTTGACAGTTTACCTCTCCCGGATCTGCTGGGAGAGGGTCAGTTATCCGGGGACTTAGGGGAGGTCACCCTGGGGGATCGGTTGAGCCCACAGGAGCGGAGCGAGGTACAACAGCTGTTGAGGGAGAAGCAGGATATCTTCTCTAATGTACCTGGTTACACTCCTCTGGCCACTCACCGAGTAGACACCCCAGGGCAACTTCCCATGCGTCAGACCCCGTACCGCATCCCAGAAGCGGTACGGGCGAACATGCGCAAGGAGATAGATGAGATGCTCCAGCTGGGGGTGATTGAGCCCTCTGACAGCCCCTGGGCATCTCCGGTAGTCCTAGTACCAATTTAAGGTCATGCCGTTTGGGATGAAAAACGCCCCGGCTACTTTTCAGCGGATGGTGGACCGCCTCCTAGATGGGTTCCAGGATTATACCTGCGCATACCTCGACGATATTGCCATTTTCAGCAATACCTGGCAGGAACACCTGACCCATATAGGAGCGGTCCTAGATAGGATTAGGGCCGCTGGTTTAACGCTGAAACCAGCCAAATGCAGCATAGGAATGGCTGAAGTACAGTACCTAGGTCATCGGGTAGGATGCGGCAAGCAAAAGCCGGAACCAGCCAAAGTAGAGGCTGTAGCTCAATGGCCCACCCCTAGGACTAAGACCCAGGTGTTAGCGTTCTTAGGAACGGCCGGATACTACCGGAAATTTGTCCCGAATTACAGTGCCCTGGCCAAACCTCTCACCGACTTGACCCGTAAAAACCTACCCCGCCAAGTAACCTGGACCCCGGAGTGTGAACAGGCATTTCAGTTGTTAAAAGATGCATTGACAAATGCCCCTGTCTTGGCAGCTCCCAATCCAACTAAACGTTTTCTTGTCCACACAGACGCTTCTATGTTTGGATTGGGAGCAGTATTAAGCCAAGTCGGGGCCGATGGCGGAGAACATCCCGTGGCTTACATCAGCCGGAAACTGTTACCTCGAGAAGTAAGCTACGCCGCCATCGAGAAAGAATGCCTGGCTGTGGTGTGGGCCCTGAAGAAATTACAGCCCTATTTGTACGGACAAGCTTTTTCCCTGCTCACGGATCACAACCCGTTAGTATGGCTAAACCGGGTGGCTGGGGACAATGCCCGGCTGCTGCGCTGGAGTCTGGCGCTGCAGCCCTTTGACTTTAATATCCAGTACCGCCCGGGTAAACAGAATGGAAATGCTGATGGGTTGTCTCGACAAACTGACCTAGAGAAATGATCCGTGAGCCTCCCCGGACATCCCCAAGCCGATCCGTGTTGGATCAGACTGTGTATGCCGGCTTGTGGGCAAGGGGGAGCAGTGTAGCGGATGGCACCAGGCGACCCTACAAAAATACTGTATAAAGCTGCATCCGTGTATCTGCTGTATTTTCTGTGTATTGAAAAAGAATTGTATTCCTCTGATTGTTCGGTAGTTTCATTCCCTTAGTTTATTCGAATGAAACTACCGAACAACCAGACCTCCCTGTGTGAAGTGTGTCCTCAATTACCCGTTGCAACATTGTTGCGAATGGGTAATTGAACAGTAAGTAGTCGTCCTTTGTTCTCGGGGGTGGCCGCCATTCGACAAACGAACACGTGGCGGCGGCCATTTTAAAACTCCCGAACAGCGGTTGTAACGGATCGCCTGGCACCCCGACTGGGTACCTCCGTTGAAAGATGCTCCTAGCGCTTCCAGAGGACTCCAAGCACTCCACCAGACACCATAAGCACTGCAGGCTGCAGCTATCTCCCTTCAGAACGAAGCAGGAACAAGCTCTTACAAGAGCTCAGTGATTATAGCAAGGGAATATGCCTAGCATAGCAATCCCTTGTAGCAGATTCCCCCAATAAGAGACAGGACTCAAGTTGAGGGTAAAAATAGAACTCCCTGTACTGTCACATACAGTCTCTTTTATTCCCAATCCACAAACATAGTACAGCCCACAGGGCGTTACAAAACAAGCAATCACATCACAGTTACATCCCACATATTCCCTCCCCTTATCCTGAGAGGAAACTCAATTATACATACAGTTAAAACATACTTTCTACCCAACTTTCATAACTCCAAAACCATACATCACATTCACATAAAATTACATATTCACAATCAATCCATTCAGGGGAACAACATATTCAAAAATGGCACAAATCAGACATTTCACATATCCCCAGATAGCTGGGATCTGAGTGCACATTATTAGATGAATGGCACTCAGATCACACAAATAAGCCTTTCTGCAGGGGAAATAAACGGTTTAACCTGCAGGGCCATAGTCCAAAGGGAGCAGGCGAGCAACCAGGCTTCTCCAGTTCACAGTGGCGAGGTTGGTTTCGCCACACTTCTCCCCTTTACCAACTAGACTAACAGGGTATCTGACCTCCTGCCGGTCAGTGCCCTGGTTAGTCCAGCAACCCACCCACAAAACAGAAACAGCAGTACAGCCCACCCACAATAACTGGTTACTACACCTGGGTAGAGGAGAACTTTGTCCATGTCCAGGTGCCTCACCACGACTGTGTGGGCAACTGTTAGGCTGCCTTGGTGGGTTGCTGAGTGGGCAGAGACCAGCGGTACTCTGCCCTGATGCCAGTGCTACCACGGAAGTAGCCTGGTGGGAGCCTGGTTGTGGGAGGGAGAGACCGACTGTCTCCCCTCTGGATACACCGCTCTGTGGCTGGGGAACAGGACCGACTGTCCCTACCCCTTGTGCTGTAAGTGCAGAGACTACAGTCCCATCTGCACTGTTGGGGGGTGTAACATCTCCCCTTGCTGGGTTAGGCTGCCGCTGGAGAGAGGGTGTAACAAGCTCCTCTCTCTGAACTGTAAACTGCCGCTGGGGAGAGGGGGTATCAGGCTCCTCTCCCTGACACTCTCTCTGCTGGTGGAGAGGGGGACCAGCTGTCTCCCCTTTCATTATTTTGTCCTGTGGTTGGGGTGCGAGACTGACGGTCTCTGCTCCCTGCAGGACACTCTGCCGCTGGGGAGGAAGGACGGCACCTTCAGCTCCCTGGGGTACACACTGCCGCTGGGGAGGAAGGACTGCACCTTCAGCTCCCTGGGGTACACACTGCCGCTGGGGAGGAAGGACTGCACCTTCAGCTCCCTGGGGTGCACACTGCCGCTGGGGAGGAAGGACTGCACCTTCAGCTCCCTGGGGTACATACTGCCGCTGGAGATCTGGGCCGACCGCCCAGCATCCCTGTAGGGCCGGTTGAGAGACCGCCGTCCCATCTCCACCTGCCATCTGTGGGTCTGCCCAGGACCAGTCTGTGAGGTCCCTCAACATTTGCGAGTAAGGACCACCTGCTTCCGCACCTGGCAACTCCGGCTGCTGCTGGGGATCTGGGCCGGTCCCATCTCCACATGCCTGTTGTGGTTCCTCACAGGACCAGTCTATGAGGACCCCTACTTCGGGTTCCTGCGGCCGCCTCAGGGGGAGGCGGCTAGCCTCCTCGGATGCAGCCTCTACTCGGCTGCTGTAACACTCCTTCCGCTGAGCATACTCTCTCTCTTTCGCCAGCCGGAATTCTCGGGCCAGCCTTGTGTTTTGCTCGGCCGTGACCTGGTTCCAGATCACCCGGCGTACCTCCATGGGTAAATCATCCCCATACTGGGCCACTCGCTGCCTCACCTCGGCCATCCAATCATCTCCAGAGCCTTCCATACTTGTCTGCTCCAAGTCGCTGGATACCTCTGCTCCCAGGGTCGCTGCACGTGTGCTAGCGTTGCCCTCAATTTGTAAATCCAAACGAACTGTGTCTCTGAGCTGCTTTACCTCGCACTAGGATGCCATCCAACCGCTTGCCACCAATGTAACGGATCGCCTGGCACCCCGACTGGGTACCTCCGTTGAAAGATGCTCCTAGCGCTTCCAGAGGACTCCAAGCACTCCACCAGACACCATAAGCACCGCAGGCTGCAGCTATCTCCCTTCAGAACGAAGCAGGAACAAGCTCTTACAAGAGCTCAGTGATTATAGCAAGGGAATATGCCTAGCATAGCAATCCCTTGTAGCAGATTCCCCCAATAAGAGGCAGGACTCAAGTTGAGGGTAAAAATAGAACTCTCTGTACTGTCTATACAGTCTCTTTATTCCCAATCCATGAACATAGTGTACACCACAGGGCTGCTAAACAACCAATCACATATCAGTTATCCCACATAATTCTCCCCACATCCTGAGAGAAACCCAATTACACATACAGTTAAAACATATTTTCACCAACCATAACTCTAAAACCATACATCACATTCACATAAAATTACATATGCACAATCAATCCATTCAGGGGAACAACATATTCAAAATGGCACAAATCAGACAAGGGGTTCAAAAGTTAGTAAAAAGTCCTTTGTGACTAAATGAAGCATGGCTTTCTGGCCTAAACCAGTTTCAGAGTCTTCTATCCTGGAGATAAGTAATTCAATTATCTCCCAGGATAGACACAAGACTCCATTAAGCACATGGTTGCAAAAAGACACAAAACACTTAAAAATACATAAAGTCACATTTACACATAACACACAGACATTTCACATATCCCCAGATAGCTGGGATCTGAGTGCACATTATTAGAGCATCAGATCACACAAATAAGCCTTTCTGCAGGGGAAATAAACAGTTTAACCCTGCAGGGCCATAGTCCAAAGGAGCAGCTAGCAACCAGGTTTCTCTGTAGTTCACAGTATGCAGGTTGAGCCACACAAGGTGACACTGTATCCAATCAATACTGTGAGGTGAGACACTGTATCCACCCCAATACACGTGAGGGTGACACCAGTATCCGATCGGTACACGTGAGGTGACACTGTATCCAATCACATTGTGAGGTGACACTGTATCCTAATCAATACATCGAGGTGACACTGTATCCACCAATACACGTGAGGTGACACTGCACGGTACATCGTGAGGTGACACTATCCAGTCAGCACATCGCGAGGTGACACTGTATCCAGTAAGACAGAGGTGACACTGTAATCGGCAAGACAGAGGTGGAACTCATCCACCTGCACATTGTGAGGTGACACTGTATCCAATCGGTACATCGTGAGGTGACACTGTATCCAATCGGTACATTGTGAGGTGACACTGTTTCCAATCAGTACATTGTGAGGTGACACTGTATCCAATCAATACATCGTGAGGTGACACTGTATCCAATTGGTACATCGTGAGGTGACACTGTATCCAATCAATACATCGTGAGGTGACACTGTATCCAGTCAGTACATCGTGAGGTGACACTGTATCCAATCGGAACATTGTGAGGTGACACTGTGTCCAATCAATACATCGTGAGGTGACACTGTATCCAATTGGTACATCGTGAGGTGACACTGTATCCAATCAATACATCGTGAGGTGACACTGTATCCAATTGGTACATCGTGAGGTGACACTGTGTACAGTCGGTACATCGTGAGGTGACACTGTATTCAATCGGTACATTGTGAGGTGACACTGTATCCAATCGGTACATCGTGAGGTGACACTGTATCCAGTCAGTATATTGTGAGGTGACACTGTATCCATTCGGTACTTTGTGAGGTGACACTGTATCCATTCGGTACATCGTGAGGTGAAACTATATCCAATCAGTACATTGTGAGGTGACACTGTATCCATTCGGTACTTTGTGAGGTGACACTGTATCCATTCGGTACATCGTTAGGTGACCCTGTATACAATTGGTACATTGTGAGGTGACACTGTATCCATTCGGTACATTGTGAGGTGACACTGTATCCAATCAATACATTGTGAGGTGACATTGTATCCAATTGGTACATCGTGAGGTGACACTGTATCCAATCAATACATCGTGAGGTGACACTGTATCCAATTGGTACATCGTGAGGTGACACTGTATCCAATCAATACATCGTGAGGTGACACTGTATCCAATTGGTACATCGTGAGGTGACACTGTGTACAGTCGGTACATCGTGAGGTGACACTGTATTCAATCGGTACATTGTGAGGTGACACTGTATCCAATCGGTACATCGTGAGGTGACACTGTATCCAGTCAGTATATTGTGAGGTGACACTGTGTACAGTCGGTACATTGTGAGGTGACACTGTTTCCAATCGGTACATTGTGAGGTGAAACTGTATCCAATCGGTACATTGTGAGGTGACACTGTATACAATCAGTACATTGTGAAGTGACACTGTATACAATCGGTACATCGTGAGACGACACTGTATCCAATTGGTACATCGTGAGGTGACACTGTATCCAAACGGTACATCGTGAGGTGACACTGTATCCAATCGGTACATTGTGAGGTGACACTGTATCCATTCGGTACATCGTGAGGTGACACTGTATCTAATCAGTACATTGTGAGGTGACACTGTATCCAATCGGTACATCGTGAGGTGACACTGTATCCAATCAGTACATCGTGAGGTGACACTGTATCCAATCAGTACATTGTGAGGTGACACTGTATCCAATC